ATCTAAAAACAATTTACAATAGATACATTTATAAATGTACAAATGGCTTGTTTATGTTGAAAAATGTTTTCCAAAGTTCCAGACAGAACCACGTTTTCTACAAGGAGGCAAGGATTTGTCCAACTAATTCTTTAAAAAAAAATTTACTTTTCTAAAACGTTATGGTGCAAATTATTTATCATGTCAGTTCGGACAAAACTGGTTTGCTCGAGAGAATTTTATATTCAGAAAAGTATTTCACTCCTTTTAAACTTTACAGTTACAGTTATTCTGCATTATCAAAAGACACAATGAAATAAAATACATAACATAGTTGTTTTAAGGAAATTAAGTGAAATAATTTCATATTTGTAGCTGTGTGATAGTTCCTCCACCATCTCTGCCACAAAGCTTTGGTTAAGATATTTCTACAGATTCTTAAAGTTCACTGATCTGGAATGGTCAACAGAGGTACAGAGCCTACATCCACTCAGAATGAAATAATATTTGTAGATATCTGGAGAGTTTAGGACATTTTATTCCAGTTTCCAAACTCTCCCATTGTGTCCAACTTTGTTTTAGATCCATTTCTGCTGCAACACACCTCACTTAAATGGCTGAATTACCTTTGTAGCATGTCAAAGTTCTGCTGAGGATGATTATAATTTGAACCAGGTATACTGAAGCAAAACAAGACCAAAAGCCTGGGGGACAAAGTGCTCCAGGAGCAGTTCCACACCTCTGATCTGAATTCTGCAGTTTATTGTGAACAGGTCAACACTCAAAGAGCATATTTTTGCAGACATTCAGTTTTACTAAGTTCTATAGAGTTTAATCAGGTTATTTTAAGTAACAAAAAGCACCACAAACATGTCAAATATATTTGAAAAAACAAAACCTATAACAATCACTGTTATAGTAATGGCATTTTTGATATTTTACCTCCTTTCTAGTAGCCAGTTTACAAAGGGAAACCACAGTTATGCTCAGCTTGCTCTATAGTACAAATATCAGGCTGAGTTCAGATACACTAAACAGGCATGTGTTGAAGGGGTTTAAGACCTTTTGGGTATCTTTTTCTAAGAAATTTTGTGTCCCAGAAAGTTACAGTATGGCTCAGTTCCATTTTTAATTACAAATATCAGGTACCAAACCCTCCAGTATGGCGTAGGCCAATTCTTCACCCTATACAGGATTTCTACAGGTTACACCAACTCAAATTTAAGACTTTATAAGACTTTTTAAAGACCATTATGAATGGGATTTAAGAACAGTATCACAACAGAAATATACAAATAAACAAACTGTATGACGTGGCAATTGAAGTGTGTAAATGGCAAAGACAAACATTTGCACTTTGCACATATGAAAGCTAGCTTCCTTTATCCTTGCTTAACAGCAAGGGTATATTAGCAGCTAGTTAGTGGCAACCACCTTGACTCACAGACTCAAAGTTTTGCATAATAGTAAAGTCCCACAAGAAAACGGAAAACTACTTAGAATATATGAGATTAAACAGTCTTGACCCAAGAAAAGTTAAGACATGTGATTAACATATTTAAGGCCAACTTTCTGTTTTTCAATGAATTTAATACAATTTGAGGCCTTCATTTTAGATACATTAATTTAAGACTTTTTAAGGATGTGCGAACAACCTGCTATTGTGTGAAGTTTGGTGCGTATCTGCAAATCAACACAGTAATCCCGTCATCTGTCAAGCATGAGACATCATGTGTGTTGTAACATAGGATTTCTTTGTGAACTTTTTACCACAGATTTCACATCCAAACGGTTTTTCTCCTGTGTGAACTCTCATGTGCGCCTTCAAATGGATCCTCTGCAGAAAGCTCTTGCTACAAACATCGCAGCTGAAAGGTCTTTCTCCATTGTGAATCCTCATGTGTTTCAGAAGACCACCCTTGACTAAAAAGCCTTTCCCGCACAGCTCACAGTTGTGCGCTCTTTTTCCACCGTGAGACATCATGTGCGTTTTAACATACGACTTCTTTTTGAATTTCTTACCGCACACGTCACAGCCAAATGGCTTTTCCCCTGTGTGGACCTTCATGTGTTCTTTCAGGTGTATCTTCTGTTGAAAGTCTTTACCGCAGTCGCTACAAACAAATGTCTTTTCCCCCGTGTGAACACCCGTGTGTCTCTTCAGAGTTTCTTGTTGAGAAAATCCTTTACTACAGACGACACAGACAAACGGCTTCTCTCCGGTGTGAACAACCATGTGCTTTTTCAGAATGTGCTGAAATCGGAATCTTTTTTCGCACACGGTGCATTTGAACTGTTTCTCCCCAGAGTGGACTCTCATGTGCACTGTGAGGATTGACTTTTTGTGAAACCTTCTTCCACATTCATCACATGCAAAAGGTCGCTCACCGGTATGGAGTCTTATGTGCGCCTGAAGATCCGTCTTTTCTATAAACCCTTTCCCACAGAAATCACAGCTGTGCGCCGTTTTCCCGCTGTGAATCATCTTGTGTTTTCGCAAACAGTCCTTCCGCCTGAATCTTTTCTCACAAACATCACAACCAAATGGCTTCTCGCCGGTGTGGATCCTAGCATGATCTGTAAGATTGTCCCGCTTTTTAAATCTTTTATCACATGTATTGCACACAAACACTTCTCCTGCCACGACGGAATTACATTTCTCTTCACCGTTTACATTTGACTGAGATACATTGAGGACACTCTCACAATTGTGACTCATTTTAGTTTCAGACTCAGAATCTGACAAAGGTCCCTGCCAGTCCTCATCATTATCATCATTACTGGCTTCTGTCTCAGAGGTGTCTGAAGCATTTTTATTTGGATTTTGCTCAAAGCTACATGCTGGATTCAGGTTCCTGTCTGGTTCTGTTCTTACACTATCCTCGCTATGGAGTTCTGTTTTTATCTGTTGAGCTGAGCTGCTGATTGGAGCTTCAGTCTCTCTGCTTTCTTCAGTTTTGATCTGATGAAGCTCTAATAACTGAGGTTTCTCTTCGTAACCTTCATTCTTCACTGTGACAACAGTTAAAGGGAACCTGCTGATATTAGTCTCTTTCTGCTCATTAGGCCGCTCTTCCTCCTGATTGGTCCAGACTTCCTCCTCCTCCTCCTTTATGTGGAAGGCCTCTGGATGCTGCTGCTGGGAACTGGAGCTCCAGGCATGGAGAACCTCTTTTTTAACACCCAGCATCCGAAGAACAGGGAACACTGAAATGTACATGGACAATGATGATTACTTACATATTTGACAGTGTTTGAGAAATATCAAATTCTGTTTCTATTCTTATGTTTTCATAGCAACATAAACACCAGGTTGCTATATAAATATTTTCCACCGGTGCCCCCCTCCCACACTCGTCTCGCAATTTCAATAGGACTGAAAGGAACAATATTTATCTCACCAACATAAAACCTTCATGGTTAAACAAACAAACTGAACAAGAAGTTTGCACTTTAGTGAACTTATAAGAGCACTAGTTAAGTCCTCAGAAACATTTTCTGAATTTTAAGCCTTAAGCTGGTTTTAATGCAGTACAAATAGTTTTTTCCCCACTCTGAACGTCTGTATTTCCCTTCCCAATATGGCGGATACGTTGCCATATAGCTGTAACCGTAACTGCCAAGGAAGCGTCAAGCTAAGAAGAGAGAACAACCGAACCTCAGTTAAACTAGCTTTACTTTCGCAGAGCTTCTTCTTACCAGCTGTTTGATTTCCACCAACTTCCTGCGGCAGATGGGCACCGAGCTGTTTCGTTTGCACTTCATCTAATGGTCGACTTTCAGATCTGTGCTGATCAGCATAATCCACTTCCTCCATGGTGTCCCCGCAATCAGTAAAAACAAACCAACATAATCCACACGCGAACCAAGTTTCACACGAACCAAGCCGATCAACTCAGATTGCAATTAGGTACAATTCTGTCTCGATCCACCGAAGTATTGACGACAAAAAAATATGTCCCCGCAAACCATGGATCACTGATGGATTTTGATCAGGCACCGTTACAGACACACTCTAGGTTTGCGTCCTACGTGTCCCATTGCTGCCATCTGCTGGATATACCTGCTCCTACAACAACAAGTCAGTAATTTTCTTCATCGGGATCGACTGAAAATGAGAGAAAGAAGCTAAAGGTCAAAGAAAAAAATTGAAAGACATTAGGACAAGAAAGTCTGGTTGACTTAAGTGAAACTAGGATAGGATCAAGACTAATTGAACAGTGATAACTTGGGACTAATTGGCATGGAATTCTCATACCATACCAGAGAATAGTATTTTCACCACAATGCAAATTGTTTTTGTCAATGCGGCAGCATAACGTAATAGCAGTGGTTACTAAATATGTGATTCTTTCTGTCCTTGCACGTAGCATTGTGCTTAACCTGAACTGGACTGAACTCTGTGGGCAGGAGCCCATTTTTTGTGCTCATTAACCTTTTTTTCCCCCCTTGTGGGATTCCCCTGGCAATTTAGCAGTTTTGGAAAGAAATTTACAGCCAGATTATCACTAAATGTGACATTAGTTATATTTTTAAAACGACACAATAATGAAAAATTAGATAAGACAAATTTAGTATATATTAGTAAATTAAGATGTCCCTAATTATATTTTGACTGGACAAAATACCTATTTAAGGTATGTCTAATTACATTCTGACAAGTGTGATGTCAGAATTTTTTAAACACTATAAGATGATTATAACAAGATAATTTCATGGTATAACCATGGTCATTTCAGTAGTTTTTATTTATGCTCAGAGTCAATTGTACCATTCATCTCTATCTTATCTTATGAAAGAGGCAACCACAATAAAGATTTATCTTAGCATTATTGTCGGAGGCGCAGGCTATTCTCTGCAAAGTGAATGTGTTACATTTGTGCATCAATAACCCTAGTTGAAGGAGCAAGATACCCATATATGAGCCCTGCATCATTAAATTAATTTAAACTTTGGAATGGTGATTCTGATATTTATACAAATCAGTTGTTCAAAAGCATACAAAAATAAGCACAGCTCAATAGGAGTTTACGGTTTTTAATCACTGATGTCAATAGTATCACCAACGTTTTTCCATAAATAAATAGTCAAAACACAGGAACACGGTTCTAAAAGCAAGAGATTAGAGACATCTTAAAGACATGCAGAACACTGACCACTGATTGATCATTTCTCTGTTGCGTGGCTTAACATGTGAGTCAGAAGGTGGTGCTTTAGCTTAAATTTTCCATCGCAAACATTACAGGCAAACGCTCTCGCTCCTGTGTGGATCAACATGTGTCGTCTTAAGTGGATCTTCTGCAGGAAACTTTTCCCACACTCGCTACAGCCGAATGTTTTGTCTCCAGTGTGAACGCCGATGTGCAGCTTAAGATGTTCTTTTCGTGAGAAGCCTTTGCTACAAATGCTGCAAACAAACTGCTTGTCGCGGCTGTGGACGCTCATGTGCTGCTTCAGGTTTCCTTGTCGTGAAAACCCCTTATTACAAACGCTACAGGCGAAAGGTTTCTCCCCCAAGTGGACTCTCATGTGCAGGTCGAGGTTTGTTTTCCTCCGGAAGGTTTTGCCACAAACATTGCAGGAAAACGGTCGCTCTCCAGTGTGAGTTCTCATGTGGTCCTTGAGGTAATACTTTACACTAAACGATTTACCACAAAGATCACAAACCGTTGGTTTTTCCCCAGAGTGGAACATCATGTGGACTTTAAGGTGTGACTTCTGATTAAAACCTTTGCCACAGTCGTCACAAGCGAATGGTTTCTCTGAACTGTGGAGTCTCATGTGAGTCTGAAGTTGACTCTTCTTAATAAACCCTTTACCGCACTGATCGCAGGTATGGGGTTTCTTTCCAGAGTGCATCATAATGTGTCTTTGAGCGTAGTACTTACTTTTGAATCGTTTGCCGCAAATCTCACAACTAAATTGTTTGTCACCGGCATGTACCAACAGGTGTAACTGAAGACTGTCTTTACAATTACAGTTTTTTCCATTTTTATCACATTTCGACTGGCTTCCCTCACCGATGAGTCTGGAGTGTGAATCGATGTTTTGTTTGACTTTCAGACATTTCTCATTTAAAGAGCTCGAACACCTTTTTCCTACCTGACTCTTCATGTGTCTCTGAAGAGACTGCTTGGAGATAAAGTGTTTGCCACACTCAGAGCAGCCGAAGCATTTTTTGCCAGTGCTACGTTTCTTATCATTGCTTATGTCTGACTGAGAAGCTATTCTCTCATGGCTTTTCAGACAATCTTTACTTCTAGATTCATAACCTGAAAAAGGTCCCTGCCAATCACCATCCTCCTCAGCCTCACTGACTTCAGTCCCAGATGAATCCAAAGCATTTTCATCCATATCTGGATCAGAGTTCACCTCTGGTTCTAATCCTCCATCAGGTTCTGCTTCCCTCTGTTCAACAGTCATGCTAGGTGAAGTTTCTGTGTCCATGTTCTCCTCAATTTTGATGCAATCATTGTCTGACAACTGAGGTTTCTCTTCATCATATTCACTCTTCACACTAACAGCAATGAAATCTGTCTCTTCCTTCTCATCAAGCTGCTCTTCCTCCTGAGAGCTCCAGAGTTCATCGTCTTTCTCCTTTTTGTGAGGGGATTCTTGGTCCAAACTGCAGTTCCGCAGATCAGGAACCTCTTCTTTAATTACCAAGAGCAGCTGATCAGTAGACACTGAAACACATATAGACATCAAAGAAAACTGTAAGGCAGTTTTAACTGTGCAAAATAAATAAATACAATTTATAATATTATATTTTTAAGTAAGTTCCTGACAGCCCTAATATGTTTTGTCATTTCCACATTTTGATGTGTAAAAAATTAAAGTAATCTACTTAGGTTATTTTTCCTTTGGTGAAAAGGGCACAAGTGGCGGTGCATACAAACCTAACCATAAATGGTTGTTTTAGTTGCACCCTTCAGTGATCTTCTAAATTAGTTAGAGATTATCATTAAAATAACCAAGCTTTGATGTTTGTTACATGTGTGAGATTGGTTTATTTTTACATCCTGATGCTCTGACCTTCCAATTGTAGTATTCAGCCTCATGATGTACACTGCCTCTGCTGTAATGTCTGCTGAGATATTTACCGATGTAATCGTTACTGTTTCTTTCTGCAGTCCCTTTTTTTTACTTCCACTCAGAATAACTTTGCTCCAATTCATACACTTACTGGGATCTTTGTCGTCTTGTGTCTTCTCCAGTTCTGATGTGGATCCTGCAGGCATGGGAGGCTCCAAGCTGAACCCTCCAGGTTCATCTCCTTCAACCTTCATCACCTCAGTCATCCTCAATCCACTTGGGATTCTCTTTTTCACTAATCACAACCTTCACGTCATCAGGGATTCAGCCATATTATCCAGATCTTCTGTTATTCTGCTACTAAAACAGAAGTCAGCCATAAATCACCTTCTGACCAAATAAAGTGTATTAACAGAAAATGTCGACGGTAACAGAGCTGAAGCGAGTCTGATACCTTGGTTAGTAGTTCTGGATCCACTCTGTCTTCAGTCTTTCTGTCCTCAGTTAGACAAGCTTAGAGAAGGTGTCCACAGACGGTATGGTCTTCCTCCTACAGGCTAACAAACTGTATGTTACGTGAACTTTTAATAGCTTCACTTGATTAAGTTTCTCCTGTTAGTTGCTTTAGCTCCAGGTTGACTGACAGTATGTTCACTTCACTAAGAATAATTATATTCTGTACTAGGAACTTCGGCAAAAAAAAAAAAAAAAAAAAAAAAAAAAACCAAGACGGTTAAAAAAAAAAAAAAAAAAAAATCCAAGCGGTTCAGAACAAACACATAGAATCGATATTATTACACGGAGATAGTGATGTAGGGCCCGGAAAATAAATTAAACAATTGTTCTACAGAGACTTTAAGACGTTTTTCTGAGGACTTAGCCACCAAGCTAAGATCCGGTTATATTCGTAGCATTGGCCAATGAAATCTCTGAATCGAAAAACTACTTCCTCTTTCAACCTGTAGCTTTTCATAATAAAAGAATATCAACGAAAGCCTAAAAGACACCGAACACATATTGCATTCCTATAACACTTTGTTTTTAATGCTCCAAACATTTAGTTCATTTAAATAGCATTGATTCACACGGAAAATATGAAGTCACCTTAGAAAACTCAGGACAGCTCACATAAATCAATATTGAATCAAATTAAGTCCAAAAACAGTTTTTAAATAAGTTTATTACAGTTGTTTATAACGCATCTAAAAACAAAGCAAGATGATTTTTGAACACCACATATTTATAAACATGATGAAAAAGGCATTTTCTAGCAGTGGTGAGTGAAAAACACAGATCATGTGAGTAAATAAGATTTGAGGATAGATTACCTCTCTGGTGGTAATCTAAGATTTTGTAGCAAATTATTTAATTAGCAGGTAATTTCTTTTTTTAAATTTAAACCAGAATTACATTGTGCAACATATTACTCTACCACTGGTATGGGCAATGCAAACAATGTGTGCATAAACAGCAATTATGTATAGAAGTTTGACCTTTATTACTGTTACAAAATGGTGTTTTTAAACAAAAAATGCATTTTAGGGGACAGTTCTTGAAAAAGATCAACTCTCCTATTTCCAGTTTCTCATGGAAGAAAAGAAAATGTCAGAATAAATGTTGCTGTTCATTAGTGAACTCTCGTACCTTAGTAATTATAGTAAGCAAATACTAGTTGAAATGTATTTTATGGAGACTGTGTTTGTAGTTTTGCTGTCTTACAATAAAAATTGTTTAGAAAACTGGCTTTCCAGGATTTGCAATCTTAAAATATAACTAATAGAATCAAAACAGAAGTCATCTTTGGAATGATCGAGACGGCACAAAGCTTCAATTGTTGCAGTTTGAAACGAGTGATGATGTCCAAAATCTGGGTGTAGCAATCTGAACCTTCTGAGACACATAAAGGCAATTACAAACTTCTATCACCTGATTAACATTTCAAAGTTTTAAAAAGGATTAATGTCCCAGGAAGATCTAGAGAAACTCATTCATGCATTTATCTTTGGTTGGATAAACTGCAACGTTGTCATGATACATCTGCCTAAAAAGTCAGATAGCTGTTCACAGCTCTAGGCAATTCTCCATGTGAGTTTCAGAATCAGGGAAGCAGTATTCAGTTTTTATGCTCCAGATATCTGGTACAAATTTCCAGAAAACTGAAAAAAATAAAATAAATAAAAATACTGAGTTGAAAGCACATTTGCTTAGAGTTGCCTTGGATTAATAATTTTAGGCTATTTAGTTAAGAATACTGACATGTTGGAAAGTGGACATTTTATTTGTCCTTAAGAGTTGAATTATGATTTCAAAGAACCCTGAAATGATTACAACACCTGTAATCAGAGAATATTTCAGTTCAGGTTTGAATTCTACAAAAGTTTTTGAGATCGTGAAGTAGAGCTGTTAATGACAGAAGGGTCTTTAAATTCACACTTCACTAGTCATTAGATTCTTGACTGTGGGAACTGTTTATCATCATGTAGACCAATCAATAATAAAATATCCCAGATGAACAGAAGGAACAAATGTGCATTAATTGCAACCCTGATGAATACCCATGTGCTTCTTAAGGTTTTCATGTCGCACAAATCCTCTCTTGCAAACACTACAAACAAAAGGTTTCTCTCCTGAGTGGACTCTCATGTGATTTTCAAGAACACATTTTTGATTAAATCTGCTTTTACAGACATCACAACCAAATGGTCTCTCCCTCGAGTGGAGTCTCATGTGTTGCTCCAATTGGATTTCCTTCGCAAAACGTTTATTACACTCAAGACAGCTGAACTGACCGGTATGAATAGCAGCGTGTTTTTTCAGATCTCTGGGTTGCGAAAATCCTTGATTACAAACACCGCAAACAAATGGCTTCTCTCCAGTGTGAACACGCATATGAGTCTTAAGTTTCCTTTGTTGTGAAAATCCTTTACTACAAACAGTACAAATAAATGGTTTCTCCCCTGTGTGAACATGCATGTGAGTTTTTAAACTTTCTTGTCGTGAAAATGGTTTACTGCAAATGCTACAAACAAACGGTTTCTCTCCAGTGTGAACATACATGTGACTCTTTAGATTCTGTTTTTGTGAGAATCCTTTACTGCAAACACTACAAACAAAAGGTTTCTCTCCTGTGTGAACATGCATGTGCTTCTTTAGATGATCTTTCAGGGAAAATGCTTTTCCGCAGACACTGCAAATAAATGGTTTTTCCCCAGTGTGAACAGACATGTGTCTCTTCAGTTCCAAATGTCGTGAAAATCCTTTACTACAAACACTACAAATGAAAGGTTTCTCTCCTGTGTGAATGCACATGTGACTTTTTAAACTTTCTTGTCTTAAAAATTCTTTGCTGCAAACACTACACACAAATGGTCTCTCTGTGGTGTGCATTTTCATGTGATTTTTAAGACTTTCCTTTACCTTAAACCTTTTACCACAAACCACACAGGAAAAAGGTTTTTCTCCAGAATGGGCCATCATGTGTATTTTAAGATTTGTCTTTCTATGGAACCTTCTAGAACAAACATCACAAGCAAATGGTCTCTCATTAGTGTGGAGCCTCATATGTGTCTGAAGATATCGCTTTACTACAAATACTTTACCACAGATATCACAGCTGTGGTCTCCCTTTGCAAGGTGCGTTGTCACGTTTAAATCATCTTGACTCTTACGTTTGAAACTTTTACTACAAGGGCTGCTGTCATCCGTCTTCCTGCCTTCTTGGATTCCTATCTGAGCCGTAAAGTTGGGCCAAAGTTTAGACGATTGATCTCTTCTGTGAATAGCCATCTTACTTTGTCGAAAAGAACATCCTGGACCTGTGTTCCTGTCTGGTTCTGCTCCTCCACAGTCCCCTCCATTAGGTTCTGTTTCCACAGAGAGAGCTTCTGTCTCTCTGTGGTCTTCAGTTTTCATTTGATGTAACTCTGATGACTGATGTTTCTCTTCATCTTCACTTTTCTCTTTATCTTCAATCTTCACAGTAAGCCGCTCTTCCTGCTGACTGATCCCCTGCTCCTCGTCTTCTTCCTTTACGTGGGGGGATTCTTGGTCCTGCTGATCCGAACTCGGGCTCCAGTCATGAGGAACCACTTTGATCACCAACATCTGATGAACTGAAAACAGTGAAACCCAAAATGACGTTAGTGACAGCTTCCAAACAAACAAACAAACAAAAACCACACAGGAAAGAAAACTCCAATGATTTACATAATAAACATACAACTCATTTTAATGAAACCTAAGAAATACATTTATATATTGACGGTAGACTTTGTTTTGGATGGTGTGCTTACGTTTCTGTAAGGAACTAATGAAGGACATTTTAAACTGTTAACGTTACTAGAAAATTTCCAAATATTAGAAGATTTTCAGACAAAGTCGGTGAGCAACTTACAATGGTGTGTAATTATAGTCAGTGGTTCAGTTTTAAACTCAGTGCCACTTGTTTAGATAACACATTTCCTTATATAAAAAGAAATGTAATGCAAAAATATTTTAATTATGCTTTACCAGTCAGTTATATAATTCATTGTCAACTTCAACATCACATCTTGGTAAAACTTTGTCACTAGCAAAAAGAAAAAACTGTCACACATAACAAATAAAGCTATTTATTTATTCCAGGGTGAAATGCTACCCTGATCATATAGTCTCATAACTTTTATCACTCATTCAGTCTGCTACTGTATTGATACTGTCATGTTCTGTTCCTCCATAAAATACTGTAATTGTTTCCATTATGTTGAGGCACTTTCTATAATGGACTGCTGGCCTGTCCAAGTTAAATTGTGCCTTCGCTGCAATGACTGCTGGAATATTTACACATAAATGTATCATTTTGATTCCTTCCAGTTAAACATTCAGAGTAAATTTGATCTAATCCATGTGCGTCACTTACTGAGATCTTTGCTGTCTTTTGTTTCCTCCAGTTGTGACGTGGATGCTGCAGGTATCTTGGGCTGCAAGCCTCCTGGTTCATCCTCTTCAACCTTCATCATCTCAGACGTCCTCACTCCTCTTGACTTCTCCTTTTCACAATCCTTGTTTGCAACCTTCACATGTTCTAGTCAATCAAGATTTCAGACATAAAACCCGGGTCTTCTACATTTTTGCTGAAACTGAAATCAGATTAAAATCAGCCTGTGACAATGTAAAATGTATTAATGTAAACTGTATTAATAAAAAATGTAGGCTGTAGCAGAGATAACGCGATGCTACAGAACTTTTAAAAGCGTTAACGCCAGAAACACTCATCAACTCCCCGCTGTTAGCTGCTTTAGTTATACGGTGGTTAACGATCCTTTCGGGTTGCTAATGAAGGTTAATTACATTATGTAAATAATCACAGCGGGTCGAAACAAACACGCAGAAACGATATCCTCACGAAGACTACCAATTATATTCTATATACTGCTTTATACTAAAATCAAAACGTTTTTGTGTCCGGAACTAGCTAGCCAAGCTAGCAGTGTCACATCCGGTTATCTTCCTACTTACTGCAAGTACACCTCACTGCAGCAAACAGAGAGGGGCGGGGACGGACCGCTGTCAGTCTCTTACCTTATTTGGAAATGGGACCATTGCAATCCGGAAGTGAAGGGGGCGCTATTTCCTATACTTCTGTTTTTATTTTCTTTTGAAAGCTGTGATATATGTTCACGTTTAGGAAGGAGTTTCACTCTCAGAATGTATTTGAACTTCTCTCTTTTATTTTCTTCAGCGCAGCTCAGTTTTTAGCAAATTCTGTAGCTTTCGGTGTACTTCTAAATCTGCTCCTAGTCGAATCTTTTCGGGCTTGTTACTGCCTCTAGTGGCGTGGGGGTGGAAACACAACTATCTAATTACATTACTAAATCAGAATACCACATCGTCTTTATTATTTACTATTAATTAATTACTGGCATTATAAAACAACATATTTTTTCATTTTCTTAAGGATGTAGAGCTAATTAAATGACAAGCAATACCTTTATGCATTATAAATAATATCTATATATCTCCATCAATTATAGGAGGAACAAAAGACATAAGGAGACATGAAAGACAACATGATCAACTATAATAAAAATACCATTCACAATGCATACGTAAGAAATTTAATTGAGCAAAAGTCAATAACAAACAAATGAATTAGGTACAGAAGAATAACAACCCAGGTTGTTACAACCAGGGTTGTTAAGCAAAAATTCTTTTTTTTTTTTTTTTTACAGTGCCATGTATATTATTAAGAGACTTTTTGTTGGTAGACTCTTATATAGAGAAAAAAATAACATGAAACTATTTAATCTATCAATGAGGAAATTTTCCTTTGACTCTAAAACGATAAATCATATTCATGAACCACATTATTACACAGCCCAACTGTGGTGACAATACAAAAAAAGTAGCCTGCAGAAACTTTATGTGGCATAAAATGATGGCATGAAGCTACTACTCAAAGAGCCTAGATGGAGTAGTGCTAGCCATATGTTTGTACATAATGCTATTCCCACTTGTGCAGCTGTGCTCAGGAATATTATGCATGTGTAGATTATCTGTGTCATGCAATAATATAATTGCAATTTTAGTAAATGCTGCTTTTAGTGCTGTGAGATTCTCTTCAAGATGATGGAATCACTGGCGTCATAATTTATTTGTGACTTGGTGAATAATATCATGTCATGTTTATTTTTAGTTTTCTCTTATGTCGCCTGTTTTTACCTTTTTTCTGTGGACCTTTTTTGTGTCTGGAATAAAGATTTGATTGATTGATTGATTGATTGATTGATTGATTGATTGATTGATTGATTATCAACAATTTGTGAATAGAGCAAAACACTTAGCACGCTATAGATAAATATTATTTAGTTTGGTTGAGAATAATTATTGCACTGTCAATAAATGACTTCTAATAGATGTTCTTAGTTACCAGAACAACACAGTAACACCTTCATGAGCTCAGAGGTTCAAACTGATAAAGAGGATGGATGATCTCTGCTAAAATATTCCTGCCATCTTCCATGTTCTTTCAGCAAACAGTTGAGACAGAGCTGTTTTTGGTTTCTCGGTTCTCGGTTACAAGCTTTTATCCAACGCTGGCACTTCTCCGCATTCTTTCGGTGTTTAGGAAAAGGAATGAAGAAAACTCCCTTCATGTTGTCACGGTGACCATATCGAGAGTCACTCCGACAGACCCCAAAATAGCAATGTTTGGTTGTCACCATAGTATGTCTATTCACTATCTGACTCGTAAAAGTAAAAATATACAAACTTTACCACTCAAAACTATTTATCTGAATCAAACATAGCCGTGGCACATTCTTCTTCTTGTTTAATGGCGGATGACAAGGAATGTTTCGGATCATTACCGTCACCTTCTGGAATGGAGTGTGGATCGAGAAGCTAATATATTCATCTTAAACCCTATATTCTCTCTATTAATTTCGTAGCTCTGCAAAAAAACACATGCTAGCCTCAACTTAAAAAAACAAACAAAAAAAATTAAGTTGTTCAGACCCCTAGTGAGAAGGAATGCAGAGGTTGTTGCAGAGGTGTTTGAGGACAGGACCAGGGTAACCAAAGTGAAGACTTCAAAATAGACTTATCTGAATAAATTATTTTATTTCAAACAAGCCCTTAACAGGAGTAAACCAATATCAACATGCTTCTCCATTTATGTGGACCACAAACTCCACGATAACTTGTCTTTTGGTCACTCAACATAAGGCTCTTGTCCAAGGAATATGCCATCGACACTTTGAGCTTTAATGTTAGGCAATACAAATCTGAGGCAGCTTTACAGCAAGGGACATGTGTGAGATAAACCAATTAACTGAAGTCTGTAAATTCAGAAAAATTAACCATCTGGACCAGAAGGTCAAATTCTAAAATAAATTATGCAAATCTCCTTTATGGAGCTAAACTTTAACAGTAATGAGCCATAATTTATCCAAGTACAGTTTTATTTGGGTTTAAAGAGACTCTATGGCAAGGTGTGGTAAAAACAGAACTCTGGAGGACACATTTCATTAAAATATAAAATTCTGTCCTATTGCCATGTCTCAACTTTTCCCTCAAAGTGTATTCAACACCATGAATTAAAAACAGAACAGGCATTAACAGGGCAAACAAAGCAAAGTCTGATAGATCAGAGGTACTCAAAGCTAGTTGATAACTGGTTAACATTTTCTGAGGTTCTGTTTCTTTGTAGTCATTTGTATCCTCACATGAAACATGTGTACACATGTTGACCGATAAAATGATGTGGCAAGTTCATTTAAATGTAAATCTTTGCTATTTACAAAATTAAGCTTTTTAAAATGAATCTACTTTCTAAAGATAACCCTAGTCTCGAGTTAGGATTCACCCACAGGCAGAAACTTTTGGAAAATTGCTTTAAGGTAGATTTAAGTTTGTTTCTTGATCATTAAAATGTGTTTGCAAGACTGCTAATGAGATGTATATTCCATTAGTGCCTAGGACCAATATATACATTCTGTTTCCAATATTATAAATATTTTCATTCTAAGAAGTTAATTTATATGTTTTCTTCTACAAAGTACGACTCCCTGATAAAGAGAATGTACTCCTTCCAAATTGATTTTGTTAAATCGGAGGCTGGTAATAAATTGTCATATTTTATATAAGGAAAATCAAACCGTTTTTTTATTTAAAAATGTAAAAAAATTAATTTTCACAGATAAGTCAACAAATCAAGACTATCCATTCCCTTCTTTTTGAATCATTCAACGATCAGTTCCCGTCCTAAGTACCCGAGAACCTGCTTATTTAGTTTTCTTTTTTGTTGTAGTTTTTATGGTTGACCTAATATAATACTTTCATATGTCACAAAGCATTAAAATTTACTTCCTTGCATCTTACGAAATAAAGTGAAGGATTGAAAAATTACAGATTACGCTGGAAACCTTAGCTTGTAATCAAAGAAAAAAGTTCAGGACTGAATTGTCTCCAGTGTTTCAGATGTTCAACAGGAGCAAGAGATCTAAAAAAACATTTTGAAGTTCACCAATCACAAGTCTGAATTTCTGTGAAAGTCCATGGCCATTGCAATGAAATTCACAGCTGTACAGAGAAGGGAGAATGTGGTGCAAAATGTTTGCCATTGTGGATTACAAAACAGAAAGCTGCAGATTGAAATTATCATTGAGCAGCCAGAAAATCTTGAAAAGATTAGTCAACTGTTGGCATAATTGTTAGTTTCAGCCCTCGTGAATATTGACGTGTTTCTGCAGAACTTCATGTTGTGAAAATGCTTCACAGGAAACACCACACATGGATGGTTTCTCTTCTAAATGGAGTTTCATGTGTCTTTCAAGACAGCGCTTGTAATTAAATCTGTTTTTACAGACATCACAACCAAATGGCCTCTCCTGAGAGTGGAGTCGCATATGTCGCTCCAGCTGTATCTCCTTTACAAAATTTTTGCCACACTCACTGCAGCTAAACTGTGCAGTGTGAACAGCCATGTGTGTTTTCAGAGTTCTGGATTGTAAAAATCCTTTACAACAAACTTCACAAGTAAACGGTTTCTCGCCCGTGTGAACACGCATGTGACTTTTTAAATTCCCTCTTAGAGAAAATCCTTTACTGCAAACGTCACAAACAAACGGTTTCTCACCTGTGTGAACACGCATGTGACTTTTTAGGGTCTCCTTCTGTGAAAATTCTTTGCTGCAAACAGTACAAATAAATGGTTTCTCGCCTGTGTGAACGCGCATGTGAGTTTTTAGGATCGCTTTTAGAGAAAATCCTTTACTACAAACGTCACAAAAAAACGGTTTCTCACCTGTGTGAACACGCATGTGACTTTTTAGGGTCTCTTTCTGTGAAAATCCTTTACTACAAACACTACAAATAAACGGTTTCTCACCTGTATGAACACGCATGTGATTTTTTAGGCTCTGTTTCCATGAAAATATTTTGCTACAAATACTACAAACGAATGGTTTCTCTTTTGTGTGAACACACATGTGAGCTCTTAGACTCACTTTTAAAGAAAATTCTTGACTGCAAACGCTGCACGTAAATGGTTTCTCACTTGTGTGAACACGCATGTGAATTTTTAGATTCCCTTGTTGGGAAAATCCCTTATTACAAACACCACATATAAATGGTTTCTCTCCTGTGTGAACGCGCATGTGAGTTTTTAAGCACCTATGTTCAGAAAATCCTTTACTGCACACACTGCAAATAAACGATTTCTCACTTGTGTGAACATTCATGTGACTCTTTAAATTCCCTTGCCGGGAAAATCCTTTACTGCAAACACCACAAATAAACTGTTTGTCTACTGTGTGAGTGCGCATGTGTCTGTTTAGGATTCCTTGGCGTGAAAATCCCTTACTACAAACACTACAAACAAACGGTTTTCCTGTGGTGTGGATCCACATGTGGTTTATAAGACTTTCCTTTACCTTAAATATTGCACCACAAATGTCACATGAAAAAGGTTTTTCTCCTGAATGGACATTCATGTGAGTTTTCAGATTTGCCTTTGTAGGAAATTTTTTACAGCAAACATCACATGTAAATGGTTTCTCCCCGGTGTGGAGCATCATGTGAGTTTTAAGAGAACTCTTCTCTCTAAATCCCTTCCCACAAAGATAGCAGCTGTGTTCTAACTTTCCACTGTGA